GTGTGTGTGTGTGTGTGTGTGTGTGTGTGTGTGTGTGTGTGTGTGTGTGTGTTCTTTCCCAGTTCATAGTTGAGCTGGAGCAGACTCAGCTTTTAGCACCAGCTGTGAATCATCTCTCATTTACTGCTTTAGGTCAACTCAGTCCAAGTCTGTTTACCACAGATCTTTGCTGTATTTGTTGCCATTCAACAATCTGTAGCTGCAGCCAGGGTCTGGAAATGTCACGCAGTCCTGATTTATGCTAATGACATACATTTTCCATTTACTTTTACCTGGCAGACTTACTGGAGCTTAGAAACCCCCCATCTTCATTTCAATGCAAAAAGAGCGTTTTGGAGATGAAAATGGGACGTGTGAATCCTGCAGGTTTTCTTCCTAAATGAATGATTAGTATGCATATTCCTGGTAAGAAGCGTCCAGAGTCCCCCCCCCCGCTCTCTTTTTTATTTTAATTACACAATTAAACAGGTGGGGGGGGGGGGGGGTGATGAAGACCCACCAGGCACAGCAGAGCGAAGCGGATCCAGCAGGCTTCCCCGAGCGCTGCTCCCCTCGGTGACATCCAGTAGCAGCAATAACCCCGAGGGTTTGGGGCGGGGCATGGGGGCGTGCAGTCAGGAGGAAGACATTAACATGACACAAACACACACCTGTGCACACATAAAGCATGCGCTTTTACGCTATGCATCTTTGCGATTAAGATCCGAAGCCATGCATAACCTACCAGACGCGATAAACTCACTGCTCTGCTGCTTTTCAATTTCCTCTTTCTCGCACGTAAACACGCTCCATATTAAACAGCTAAGCACCTGTTAACCAGACGGATTTAATTGCGCTGCTCGCTCAACCTCTCTTTGTGTTTGTGGAGCGTGTATTGACAGAAACACGATTGATTAGCAATATTTCTTGGCTGCAGTGCTGATCAATATGAGATATTGGAAGGTTGTTTTTTTTTTAAACACACACTCACCACTTGAAGGAAAAGATCCTGAAAAAAACAAAACAAAACCCACCAGCAGCTTTGTATCCTGAGCTCTTTGCTGGAAGCCAAACAAGTCATTTGAGCTCTCATTGCTTCTCGTACTTCCACGGAGCTCAGCCTTGTTGGGAAAAAAAAAAAAACCTCGATGAGAGAAAAACGTGATGAGAGATTGTGTGTGTTTGATGGATGGCGGGGCCGTGTTGTTGATCAGTGAGGCTCAGGCCAGGTAGATGAGTATTCTTCACCACTGTGACCAGTTAGGCCTGATGGATGAAGGACATATCTGCCAGTACACCAGACTGGACACGCACACGTGCAGTAGAAGCAAACACAAAACCCTCAGTGCTCCAGGTGATGACAGAGTAGCCTGTGACCTTCCCAGCATGCTTTGCGGCGCTGTCGTTTACAGGTCCCACATTAATCATTTGTTTGTTTATAGCTCGTGGATCATTGTGTTACAAACAGTTGCTAGTTGTGTTTCACTTCTGCTTTTTTGTTCTTTATATAACCACAAACTAAAGGTGTGTACTTAGTTATTATATAATATATTACTTATATTATATAATACTATAGTTGTGCCACATTTGACCTATTGTGTTGAGGTCTGGGGGAGTGCGTGTAAAACATTTACAAATCCACTTTTTATTTTGCAAAAACGTGCAGTGAGAGTAGTAACAAGAAAACACTACTGTCACCCTACAAATATTCTGTTTAAGCATTTGGAGCTGTTGAAATTTGGGGAATTGGTAGATTATAGGATTCTATTGATTATGTATAAGGCTCATAAAAATGTATTTGCCACCTAATACACAATCCAGTTTTGTTAAGAGGGATAGTGTTTATAATTTGAAGGGACTTGAAAAGTTTGTAAAGCCAAAGCCAAAAATTAGAACAAATTTGAGGGAGCGATGCACCTCTGTTCGAGGAATTAAACCGTGGAACAACTTGGACAATGACCTTAAAAATGCTGGAACAATTTATTCACTTGGTAGAAAGCTTAAAAGTGTATTGGTTGAAATTGATATTTATATTGTGATGTTGTTTTGTTGATTATTTTAAGCTATATTGTGAAAATTGAGTTTAATTTCTGCATGTTGTATATTTTGTAGATATATTTTTTAAATGGGGGCAGATGTAACAAGATTTTTTCTTCTTTTCTGCTCCTTTTCATTTGACCATGCTGTGTTGTGTTTTTTTTTTGACGCAACATTATTATTATTTGTATTGTTTTAACTGATGTTCGAATGAAATAAAATATAAGTATCATTTTAGCTCGTCATTCACACACGTGTCATACATCCGTCATGCCAGTCCTGTCTGACCATCAGCGAAAGACTGATGACCTGGCTCATTGATTAGTTGCCTGGGGAGACGGATGGCGCCCACACATCAGGGACACTTAGGGTCACAGTGGCCATCAGACAAGGAAGTGGGCGTGGCCCAGCATCGGGTCTCATGAATAAACATAGCCGCAGTAATCAGGGGTATGTAAATGAATGGGCTCATACATAACTTTGCCGCGGTAAAAGCATAATGAGGTATTCATATTTCACAATGAGCTGATGAGAGGATGAAGGGGAAAGTGAAGGCGTGGGGGGTGAGAAGGTGAAAAGCTGAAGAAAGTGAACATCAAAGTACGATTAAAGAAGAAGCTGCAGATGGAACTTTGTGGATCAGGAGTTTTATCACTTTCAGAAGTGATTTTTAGCTCGTTTTTGCTCTGGAGACTCACGTTGAAAGACTGGGTGATAAAATGATTACAATATTTATCATGATCAATATAAATAGAAGTTACATCTGATAGAATGTTGAGAATTTGACTGAACTTCGATTCAGAACCCCACAGCATTCTGGGGGATGTAGGCAGAGGTAATACTTTCGCTGTTTGACCTCTCGCGGCCCACCGGCCCTGTTGCACTAATATTTTAGACAACTTATGAAACCTTTTTATGTCTAAATTGCTAATAAAAGTTATATATTTGATCAGTTTGTTTGAATTACATTATCTACATGCCAAAAGAAGCTTCCTGTTGATTTGTCAATTCCATCTTCAATGTAGATGTCTTTAAAATGTTCAGAAGTTGTCTAGTGTGACAGGGCCTACACTAACGTTTTAGACAACTTATGCCAACTTGTGAAAAGTTTTTTATGACTATTTTACTCATATCGGCTATATATTTGATGTAATTGTTAGCGTTACAAAAGATACTTCCTTTGGGTTTGTTTTAAAATCCATCTTCAGCTTAGACATCTTTAGTGTTGGACAAACTTCATAAGTTGTCTAAAATATTATGGTGTTGACAGCATCAACTCACTTGGTAAGCTTGCAACAACCTGTTGAGTAGTGAGCTTAACATGTAGCAGCAGCAGTTTCATGTTTCACCACTGTGCCTCATAACTGGTTCAAAATAAAAAAAGAACGACGTGGGGTGAAAGGAGAAAATGAGCGACAACTTGAGAGGAAATTGAGGATAAAAGAGGAAAGGTCACCAGTTTAGCATCATGAATCAGCCTTTATTCTCCTGCTCCTTATTTCAAATCAGGTAAAACAAAAAACTGATCAGTAATTATCAATATCGGTTGATATGAAACACTTATATTGTGATATATTTTACAGCCATATTGCTCATCCCTATTTGGCTGACAGAGACTGAATGTATTGTTCTTAGATATGCGGCACAGTGGCCCAGCTGGTCGAGCTGTTGCCTCTCAGCAAGAAGGTTGCCGGATCGAATCCCAGCTGGGAACCTTTCTGGGTAGAGTTTGCGTGTTCTCTCATGCGTGGGTTTTCTCTGGGTTACTCCAGTTTCCTCCCACCAAAAAACACGACTGTTAGGCTAACTGGTGACCCTGATAGGAAGAAGCGGGTAAAAGATAACGAAAGGTAAACCTGACCACTAACATCCATACCTTTCTACGTCTTTGTTCGTGTCCCAACATGGGATTCGGCTGACGGACTGGTGGTGTAAGGTGTTCAGTCTGAGCAGAACATTCAGTTTTAATGGAGACGCACTCGGCCGCGGCTCCTGGAGCCAGCCGTGTGTTCTGTGATCCTGCAATGGAGCGATGGGTTATTACAGGCAGGGACTATGGGGGTAAGGCTTTAGGGATGACTGTGTGAGTGCGTGGGAGCAGCAGAAGCGTCAGGTATGTGAGGTTTCTTTCAGACAATAGAGCACTAAATTCAATTAATCTGAATGGCTGGGATGGGTAAGCGGGAGGGGAAGGCGTAAAGCTTTAAATGAGATTTTGGCCCTTCTATCCCCCTCCTCTTTCAGCTTCTCTCCCACCATCGCCGCACCCCACCCCGCCCAACAGCACTCAGCTCTGTCCCCAATGCCAGGAGGTGATTAGAGACACAGAGATATAATTAGAGGTGGGATGGTGCCGCCGTCCCAGAGGGATGTGGCACGTGTGACTTCTCCTGTAGCATGAGATGGAGAGGGTTGTTTATCTATGGGTTAGGATGACTGAATACTCATATCGTTGCAAGTAATATGATGTTTGCATGGTGTGCACACCCGAATGGAAGTTCAAGCACCTGTTAAGTTACTAAAGAAAGTATTGTAGGTTATATTTTAGCAATGGAAGATAACTTTGTTTGTGTTGCCAAGCACGAACTGCACAAAACGATCAAACCGTGCAAGGAAAACCAAAGCAAGCGCGATTCAAAGTCATACTTGGTTTTTATAGGAGTGCTCGTTTCCGAGTGCTTTAATGGTTTTAATGGATTTATATTTGTACTTGTCAGAAAATGACAGTGCTGTTTTTCTCCTGTTTTGCTTTCAGGGAAGAAGATAAGAACATCTTCGACTACTGCAGAGAAAATAACATTGAAAACGTCAGGAAGGCCATCAGCTCCCAAAAAGTGGACGTCAATACAAAAGATGAAGAGGTACGGCGCCAAGAAATACGCAAGAGCTGTTGTGGTTTGCATGTGAGAGCTGCTATAAATAGGCTTATTGGATTGGAATATTGTTCGAATAATGTTTGTATACAAATAATTTCTACTGAAGGATAATGAAGCAAGATGATTGGCTACTTGAGAGCATGTGAAAACATGGAAATATTTGATTAAGCAGCTTTTTTTTTAGATGTTACAGTTTGATTTCTGTAGTCACACACATTAACCAGTGGTTAGGAAGGAAATATGTAAAAGTGCATAAACTGTCATTATCATAGTGAGGTGTTTTCTGAATCGACCCTGAAATCTGTTCATCTGCCTTTGATTCATTATCAACAAGGCCAAATGGCTCCCTGCCTTTTTTTTGTTCATCAGAGTCACTCTTCACAATAAACAGGCAGTCGGCCACTGAGTTCACAGTCAAAGGCCAGATGGCTGAGCAGTCTCAGCTGATCAGGCTTTGTCTGCTCAGAGCCATTGTTGAGGTCTTCTTCTGTCCTGTAGTTTTGTGAAGCGGACAGCAGAGGGCAGTGGAGAAGTTTGACATCAGCAGGGAAGTCTGACCTGCATCTGCAGTTCAGAGACAGAAAGATGCTCTTGTTCTTAGGGACTGCAACCAAAGGCTTTAATTTCAAACTTTTCACAGTCAAATGGCTGATAAACTTTTACTTTTGGATCTGCGGACCTCTTAAAGGGGAGAACAATTACTCCAAAAAAAAAAAAAAAACTCAGGCTGATTTAAAAATAATTTACTAACATTTTAACATTTAAATATCACGGGAATTTTTTTAAGGATGTTTGTTTTACTGTCATATTGTTCCCCATGTGTATACGGTATATACACTTTTTTAAATGATAGTTAATCGTCTATTGCTATTTATTTTGCGGACCCCCAAGCTACAACTCACGGACCCCTGGAGGTCCTTGGATCCCAGTTTGAGAACTTCTTCTCTAAATCATTCATAATCACTTGTTACTTTTGTATTACTTATTTATTAGTCTAACTCTTTTAACATTAGGGGAAAAAGCAAGGAAGAAATGAAAGCATTAAAATAAAACAACAGTAGTTTTGTTTATTGTTCCGTTTAGAGTGACACCTGATTCATTGACACAAATAAATCATAATCAATCTTTCTCTGGATTTGAGAATAATTATTTTAAGTACATATGTCACAAAAATATATGTGTCTAAAATGTCCCTTTAGTCATTTTTTATCAATTAATAGTTCAGTTTTCTCTCAATGATGAGACAAAATAAATATCTGTATTGAAATTAATTTAGGAATTTCTGCTGTTTTAGTATAATCAAGTAGTGAAAATGTAACTAATATTGCATCATTATTGTTTATTATGAATTAGTAATAATTACTACAGCACTGGTGTATATAGGTTTGAATGAGTTTGCTAAAATAGTTACTTTTTTAATGTAGCATACAGATAGTTAGATTAATTTTTGCACTTGTGCATCATTATTTGAGAACACAAGCAGGTTAGACTGTCACACTAAAGATCAGAAGTCCAAATGATTACAAGAAAGTCTCAGAAAAATGCCTGCTTTGTAATTTGTACAAACATTTTCAAGACGATTTTTAAATTTGGCATTTAGTTTTTTTTTTTTAAATTGTGAATTGTTTATTTGTTTTTAGTTTTGTTTTTTCCTATTTAGTTTTCCTTTAGGTGTTCGCAAAAGTTTTTAATCTGATTTGGTTTAAATGACTAAACTTTATGTTTTGCCACGTTACCAGGCAGGATGTGCAACTTGTATATGTTTATTTAATTATTTAAATTTTACTGTCTCTGTTCTTTACCACTTTCATTGTCATCTTATCATTTTTGTTTGTTTGTTTTTGAATGTGTCCCGCTTCATCAAAGCACACCATTCTGACAAGAAAATGATTTCTTAATTTTTTTTCACCTTGCTTGATATGACACATTATCAGCTATGGTCCAACAAGACATTTTCTGTGAATATCAGTGTTCTTTAGGACACCACTGTCACTGCAGTACTCAGATAACGTAGAGTTTACTGAGTTAAACAGTGTCCTGTTTGAAACAGTTGGTGCGCAATAAAAATATGACCTGCAGTCATCAGCAGAACACCTGAAACAGAAGAGACGGGGGCAGAAGCTACTTATTTGTATTCTGGCCTGACTCATAAGTACCCATCTTACCATGCAGCCTCGGTGATCAATATGATTTAAGCAACAGAGGGTGGACCTGGAGAGTTTGCTTTACCTAATTGGCCTCACTGAAAAATGAGCTTGTGTGGCTTTATTAGAACAAGGATCTTAGACCTGAGGAAAGGACTGTGTGTGTGTGTGTGTGTGTGTGTGTGTGTGTGTGTGTGTGTGTGTGTGTG